CGTCGGACATAAGTCACAGCCAGTACACCATCATCTTTTTGCCCAAATGTAGGCTACTATACAAAAGAAAAAATCTAACAATGCTTTAAAGACATTAAAGTATTTTTGAAAGATATTTGAAAATGTTTACTGCATTGTTAAAAAAAAAGAGCTTGTGTAAAATTGCGTTTTGAGGAAGAAGAAAAAACACGTCACGTCACAATTTATTATTACATTCAGAAATAATGCAAGCTAAAATGCCGGTAGGCTAAAGCAAAATGTAAACAGTTATTAGTTTCTCTCCACAACAAATCCTGTAAAGTTTAGGCTATAAAAACGTCAATCCAAAAACACATTAATTTAAGGTGAAACTGATGACTACCTCTCTCATTCAGCACAAATCCAAACGATATTTCGCGACGTATCTGGATGCTAAAATATTATTTATTATAGACTAGGCTTTGTACATTCCTCGATGTAAAACATCATCCTTCACTTCGGCTATATCAGCTCAGTGAGGCGCTGGTCACGCCGAATGCAACGGAGCAGTTTATACGTTTCTTTAACTGTACTCTATTTTGATAACAAACAGGCTGCAATGTCACAAAAATATGTTGTGTCTGTGTGCGCGTGAAACATTCAAAACGGTCAAGATTTGCAGAATAAAGAAAGCTACTTTCTGCCGTCTCGTTTTCCTTTCCGAGAACTTCACAACGAACCGTAACTCGGCACATTCTTATCTTTCGTTTTGTTGATCCGTCAATGATTTAAGTGAAATATAGGCCTATATATTCCTTTTTATGTAAGCCTATAGTTTATATGATGAGATGTCAGCGTCACATTTGCATAGACCGTACTACTGGAATTTAATATTTCAAATATTAAATGGAACGATAAAATAACGTTATTAACCGGTTAATGGCCATTTCAAATTTTCGATTCTGTTCGGAACTATAACATTTGATTTAGTTTCTGGTTCTGTCAATTTCGTTCGTTTCCGGTTTTTGTTCTTGTTCCTTGAACCGGTTCAGAGCCCTGCGTAGAAATGGTGCCTGTTTGTTTTTTTGGGATCTTGAGAAATGAATTTGGTTGAATGTGTGCACAGTTTTGTCCAGTATGATAGGAATGTGTGATGTGTGTCCACACAGGTGCTGGTTCTGACGCCGACTCGTGAGCTCGCCATTCAGGTGGCCAAAGACTTCAAAGACGTCACCAGGAGACTCTCTGTTACGTGCTTCTACGGAGGAAGCTCATACAACCCACAACGTAGGGCTTTAATCATCATAGTAATGACTGTAACTGAATGATCAGTGACAGAAAAGCATCTGTAGTTTAATTCAGTTGGAAGAAAGAATGGAAAAATAAATACAGAACTACAGTTTGGAGATGTTTAGTAACCTGCTGATTGACTTGTTGTGGCATCAGTGGAAGCGATCCGCAATGGCATCGACGTACTGGTGGGAACGCCGGGTCGAATCCGAGACCATCTGCAGAATAACAAGCTGGATCTGTCTCAGCTGAAGCACGTGGTGCTGGACGAGGTGGACCAGATGCTGGACATGGGCTTCGCCGAGCAGGTGGAGGAGATCCTCTCTCTGTCCTATAAGAAAGGTAACCACACGTCTGATGCTCCCGTTCACATTGTGTTCGTCCCGCGAGAAACTATAAGCTAAACCACCCAGAGTCATGTAAGATCTACATTAGGGCGATTTGGGGAAAATATCAAATATTGCAAATGTTTCTTTTTTTTTGACGGATTTTGTGATTTTATTTTTGCAAAGTCAAGCTTCAGCTTAATATTGTCAATAGTGTGCAGCACAGTATGGGTATCAGTACCCTGCTGAAAAAAACAATAATAGAAACCATCACAGAAATTCTTATGGTTTCCATTAAAACAATTACAAAATTATTTTTTGTAGTGTGTTTTGGGCATTATTCCAATAGGAATTACTGTTGTTCTATTGGTTCCCATCTGCCAGATTACATATCACCAATAGAATCCATCAAGTACCAGTAGACACCATTAATTAAAGCCTTAAAGCCAATATACAGTAATTACCATTATAACCCTTAAATCCATTAAATGTTCTATTGTGTTTTGGGAGTTGTTTTTTTGTTTTTTTTCAGCAGGGAATATTATAGTGGTATTACCTGAATTTCACAGAAAATATTTGTTTATTTTTTATAAATAAAGAACTGTATTTCTTAAGTCAATTATTAAAGTATTACATATGTTACATAGGCTGATTTATTCATTTTAAGTATTTGGGATTTTAAGAGCAAGTGGAAAATGTGCTGAATGTTTCATTTCATCCAAGTGAAATTAGCAAGCAGTTAGACTGAATTTACACTTGTTTTAAACGCGGAGCCAGGCGCGAGTTGACACGGGTCATACTGCCAGATGCGCTCGTATAACCGAGCATTACGAGACAGACTGCGTGTGTGCTATGGAAGGCCAAAGGGGCCAAAAACACGTGAATTTTAACGCGTCAACAACACGTATTTAACGTTTTAGCATGTTAAATGGTGGTTGTCTAGTCTATGAATGGTAACCCCCCCCTAAGCTCACAGAAGTGGTTTGACCCAAGTCCTCAGCAGCCAATGACACTGACCCCTCAAACTGATTTCTAACGGCTACTTCACGCGTATTTAACACGTTGAATACACGTATTTAACGCACTGATTTTTTCACGTGTAAACGACACGTGTTTAACGCATTGTTGACTCATTAAAATTCAGGCCTTTTTGGCCTTCCATAGTGTGCTGCGAGTGTAAACGGCTCCTCCGTGAGACGCGGCAGAAAGGAGCGAGTATGAGAAGCATTCAGAGACACAGGCTTTTTAAAAAAAAATTTACGGTGGGCGTTTACTCAGTTGGCTAGAGCAGTGCTGATTGGGGAG